CGGATAAGCATCACATGTCGTACGCCCTGCACCAGGCTAATCTGGACTTCAAAAACAACATGCTACACCGGACCATGTATGTGTGTGGGTGTGGGTGTGGTTACGTTTGTGTGTGTGAGAGAATGCCCAATTGTCATAGAGTGTGCGAGTTTATGATGATGATGTACGTATAAATTACAGGTGTTGACCTGTGCGACAACTATCAGGTGTTTGCTTGTGTAATTGAGGGGATGACGTGTACATAAACTACAGGTGATTAGGGATTATAGGCGATTGTTATTGCGTGTGGGAATCACAGGTGGTTACGTGTGCCTGGATTGTAGGTGATTGTTATTGCGTTTGAAAATCCCAGGTGGTTACGTGTGCGTGGAATATAGATGATTGTTATTGCGTGTGAGAATCCCAGGTGGTTACGTGTGCCTGGATTATAGGTGATTGTTAATGCGTTTGAGAATCACAGGTGGTTACGTGTGCGTGGATTATAGGTGATTGTAATTGCGTGTGAGAAACCCAGGTGGTTGCGTGTGAGAAACCCAGGTGGTTGCGTGTGAGAAACCCAGGTGGTTGCGTGTGTGTGGATCAGAAGGTGAATGGCATGGGTGGTTGAGGTGATGCCCTGTATGTATATATCAGGTGATTGTGTGTGTGTGGATCAGAAGGTGAATGGCATGGGTGGTTGAGGTGATGCCCTGTATGTATATATCAGGTGATTGTGTGTGTGTGGATCAGAAGGTTGTTATGTGTCCTGTAATTCTCATGTTGTTATGTGTGTGTGGGTTATTTGGTGATGCCCTGTAAGTATATATCAGGATTGCGTGTATGTGGGTTATTTGGTGATACCCTGTATGTGTGTATCAGGTGATTGCGTGTGCGTGGATTGTCAGGTTATGTGTCCGGTAATCCTCATGTTGCTATGTGTGGGTGGATTATTAGGTGGATTGTGTGTTCGCGACTTCTCAGGTCTGTACGTGTGTGTGGATTGTCAGGTAGTTTCGTGTGTGGAGCTTTAAACACCCATCGGGTGTTACGTGCGATAATTGCGCGTATGTGACTTATCGCCCGACCACGTGTGTGACCATTCTCAGGTCAACACATGTTTATTATCCAATCAGTGGACTGCGTGCTTATAGACTGCCGTGTGATTACGTTTGTTTCATTGTGAGATGGTAGTGTGTGGATGGTATTCTCAGGTGATGAGTGCGTGTGTGTATGGGCAGTCGGTTGCTTGTTTGTGGATTATCAGGTGCTTGCGTGTGTACTGCTGTGAGATGGTAGTGTGTGGATGGTATTCTCAGGTGATGAGTGCGTGTGTATAGACGCAGTCGGTTGCTTGTATGTGGGATATCGGGTGTTTGCGTGTGTCCTGCTGTGAGACGGTAGTGTGTGGATGGTATTCTGATGTACTTGTGACCAGAGTTTGTGCCCGTACACCTAAGCTGCGAGTGAAGTCCTTTTCTTTATTTCATAGTTCCGTTTTTTTGTTGTTTTTTTTGTTAACCAAATTCTGTAAGCCCTGACATTCTCAACCGACTTGTGTTCATATACAACCTCTATTGTGCTCGCGAACCCTCTCGTGTTGTGAACGAACCAAGAGATAGAGTGGCCTTAATGACATTTTCCAAGGTGGATTGTTATTCGTACTTGATTTCTTGGACCAGGTATGCGTGTATCCAGGATGACTACAGCAACATGACACAGACTAATTTCTGGAAGAAAATGTACACAACGGGCAATGCCTACCCCTTCGACGAGTTTGGTCGGCGTGTGGAGGTATGTTTGTTGTCACATCATATTTGCGTGTAGTTGCTTCGTCTTCAAAGCTATATATGTATATATATATATATATATCATAATACGAATCTGCGTTCACACACTTTCTTGCACGCAGTCGTATGTGCTTTGGAGGAAATACTCCACTTCGGCTAGGCAGACCGCGCATGACAGATCTGGACTATGTGTCATACAAATGCGCCCGCGAGTACTGTGTATCTAATCGGAGGCCTTTGTTTGGCAATAGTTGTATCAACACTGTACACTCAATAGCAGATTCGTATTCGATCGCTTGATAAGTATCTGTTCACATACTCATGTCGTTGTCGTTCCCAAGTTCACGGTGTATTGTTTGAACTCGAGCGAAGAGCTGAATGTGTGCTGTGAAGCATACATACGTTTTCGTGGCCACGTGCCTGTTATATATATATATATATATATATATATTCTAGATAGCTGTAAGTGACACAAATAGCTGTCCAACGAGTCATCTTTTATTTCTATATATATATATATGTATGTATATATATATATATATATATATATATAGTGTATCTCTATGACCATGTCGGTATATGAAACACGTATAGATGTATGGATGAGTGTAAGCTTCGATCCTGATAGGCTCTTACTCGCCAAGATATAGGCAAGCATTTGGGAAGTAGCGTACAAGTATCTATTGCCGAGCTGTACAAGTACTAATTTGACATCCACCAAATATGTTATCCTACACTTTTAACCTGCTATCATAACCTTCTATGGCTATCTGCTACTACAGGGACAGAAGATCCCCCCCGGGCTCAAGCAGCTGAAGGACGATCCCTATCGCACTCTCTCGCGCTACGTCCGCACCAGCCACGGCTATGTGAAGTGCGGGGGCAAAAAAACCAAGCACCTGGAACAGTAAGTTGATTTATAAGTGGTCGCTTTGTATTACGCACAAGTACACGGATACGTACCCACGGCTAGTATGAGGGTACTTGTTTCCCAGTGGATCAAGATAGCTGTTGAACCTCTAGCTTGTGGTAGAGCGGAGTATATTACCATCAACCAGATTTGTACAAAATATTGCTATCGTCATACAACAAGAATGAGCTTTTCTCCCGTATATTAGTAATTGCAAGCGGTAGTAGTTAATTGTCGTTATCCTTCTGAATGATGGTTAGCCTGCGAGAGAAACCTGTCAGAAAACTTGTCAAAGAAACCTGTCAGAGAAACAAACTCCTGAATAGCAAGTCAGTCACTTCGCAGCAATAAACATGCGTGTTCGACTTTGCATCGCTTAACGTGTCTGGCTGAGTTACCGTTACAAACTTGAGAGATTTCGAATTCTATCATGTTGACTCTACCCTGGAGCCTGTGAAATCAGCATATGCTAGCAGCTGTAGCATCGGCTGTTGTTGTTTGAGCATACTTGCAGTCAAGAGCCGCTTTGCGTTATTTCGAATACACACAGATGCGCGACAGATGCCCCCTTCTTCATCGAATTCCTGTGGGCCAATTTCCTACGAGATCGCCTTCCGCGTATGTCGATGTCGTCCTGAAAACCAGTACTAAAGTTGCAGTCGCAATCCTAGCAGTTTCGATTTTGAGGGTGCGAATTCATTTGGTTGTAGGTATTTCTCTGATCTGAAATGTGTGTGTGTGGTAAGTGCGTTTGCTAGTTGCGGTGTTGTCCCAGTAGTATATGCAGCTTTCTCATTAAGTTATGCTAATAGAGTAGAGCATAAACACTCTGCCCACCCACTACAGTCTTTCACGGCCATTCTTTCCCCTGAAAAAATGTTGCACCCGTCAACCCTTCTCCTCCCGTATGTCTGCGAAGCTTATTGAAATAAGCCTGCAGCCATTTTAATATATATTTTTAATGCATCATTATATGTTCCAGTTATGAAGACGGGATCATTTATATATTAAATATCCGACTTCTGATTGTGTGTTTTTTTGCTCTAATGTAGTGATTGAGGATCCAAGCACCCCGGTTATCCGCCCGCCGTCGGAGCACTTCATTTACGAAGCAAGTTTCCAGGCTCAGGTCACAGGATTGGGTTCTATTTTAGAGCAGGTAAGAGGTTTTGCATGGTCCTTATTGGGATATTCTCCATACCTCTCTGTCTATAGAGTATATTGAATGTGGTTGAGAAAACATTTAGTATCTCTGCAAGATTTATATTGGTGCCGGCACGGATTATTTTCTATGGTGTAGGGCATGTGCATGGACTGAACTTTGTGGTGATACTGCATGATTGTGTTCCTGCTCGGGTATACCGAATAGTGTCGATATTGAAAATAGAAGAACAGACTGCTGTTCCATTTGATTTCAATCGTGTGTACGTATATTGACCTGCTGTTGGTAAAATACTGACGTAATCAATTATTGAGCCTGATGTATGAGTTCTTCGTGAGGAGATACTCAAACTCAAAGTGCTAGACGGGACAATTTAGCCTTTCCAATATTGGAAATATATTTCAAAATAAAGGGCCACTCTAGTGTTAGAGATTACGGCCCAATGCTTTCATAATAGAAGCGTGTCACTCGCCCTTCTACCTAATGTACCTGTATTCGCATTGGAAAGTGGCTACATTGCACTACTGCTCTGCCATGCACTGGAGTAGTAAATTATTCGCATATCGCATGTCACGCTCTTCGAGAATTAGGCGAATCACTTTACGGTATTTGAGCTCCAATCTTTCTCCCACTACACGCTCTCGGCCAGGCACTTTTTAAGCACCCGATTAAGATCCCTAGTGCGCATGTTGGTAAAAACATGACTCCAATACTCAAAAAAATGAATCGTGTACTTTATCCCCCTAGGCTGTTGATGTAGCTATGAGCGATGTCGCCAAGGACATGCCTGGTTACAATTTATCGCCCGATATATGGAAGAAAGCCATAGCTGAGATTGACAAAATCGGGTGTGACAATGATACATCGGAATAGTGCTTGGTAGTTGTGCTATCAACTATGATTATGTAAAGTGTACAGATGATGAGGAAGGAAATGTAAATCAGTAAGGGAGAACAGCTTCAAGCCGCAGGACTGTTATCATTACCTCGATAAGGATAGTTCAGATTGTCAACTACTGAATGGGGGGGACAATATCGGACGCCATACCAAACATTGCCCAGGACAAGTTGACCACGTATTGCACTAATTGAGAAGTCAGAAAGAACCAGGAAACTAGAATAAACCAAGTCTAGATATTGGAGAACTCTTAAGACTCCGGCTGTTATGCCTAACATTTATGCGCCCGGCTATTGTGCGCCCAACTAAGACTCCCGCCACTATGCGCCCAAATAAGACTCTCGCCACTATGCGCCCAACTAAGACTCCCGCCACTATGTGCCCAACTAAGACTCCCGCCACTATGCGCCCAACTAAGACTCCCGCCACTATGCGCCCAACTAAGACTCCCGCTGATATGCGCCCAGCTCTCGCCCCTCGCAAATTATGCCCTGTGACTGAGATCCTTTCAGCCTACATTAAATGACTAAATATTTTTTACATTTCATATCAAATCAACTCGGCGGTAAGGAGATGATGTGTATGAATGTGTGCACGCAGTCCGAGTCTGCAATTTTGGCGTGTTTTTTTTCGTTATTAGATATATTTTATATATATATATATATATATAACATATATAACATATTATATCTAAGTTTTATATATATATATATGTATGTATATAGTATAATGTGTATATATTATTACGTAACATACACACATATATATATATATATATATATATATATATATATATAATATAATATATAAGTCTATTATATATATATATTATTAAATATGTATATATAATATAATATATAATATACTATAAAATAAATATAAATATACAAGTATATATATATACGAGTATATATGCAAGTACATGATACATGTATATGTATATGCGCTGATATTGGTTACGTGCTGATAGCATATACGCTAATAAAGGGAACAGCACAACATGATATACACTTTTATATAAATTCGTGGTTAATATGTACATTTTTAAGCCTGCTAATCTATCTACTCCAGCAACTTGCTTATCTCTGCCTCGTAATGTTTCTTGAGATTGTTGCGCTGCAGTTTTAAACTAGCGGTGACTAGGCCGCTCTCGGGCAACCATGGGTCGGCTTCAATGAAGATTTTCTGCGGTGTTTCAAACTTTGCAAGTTTGCTGCTCTTTGCTTCCTTCTGTAAGGATGCTAGAACTTCTGCGACAATCTTGGGATCTTTCACGAGATCAGCCCATTCTTTCTGAATTCCGTTCTTTTCCGCAAAAGCAGCTACTGCTGGTGCCAAAACAGTTACAATCGCAACACAGTAGGAGTGGAAAGGGTCGGCATACACCATCATGTTGTCAATGTAATTCGCGGCCTTCAACATACTTTCTACCTTACCCAGAGATACGTATTCTCCCTGTTGCAGTTTGACCAAATCCTTCTTTCGATCAATAATCTGCAAGGTTCCGCTCTTGTGTACCTGTCCGATATCTCCAGTGTGGAACCACACTTTCCCTGACTCATCCGCAATAAATTCTTCAGCAGTCTTCTCGGGCATCTTGTAGTAGCCGCTAGCGATACATGGACCACCCAACAAGACCTCACCGCGAGGCATACCTATGGCCTTATCGTCCTTGTCTGTGACCTTGTAGTTGCCCTCTTCCCAATCCTTAAGCTTCAGGTCCACAACAACTAGAGGACCTCCAACCTTTCCGAACGAGTCACGATCCGTATGATGTGCAATTGTAGCAGACGAGCAAGTTTCGGTGAGACCGTAACCTTGACACACCGGAACACCAAACACAACGTTCATAAACAACTGAGAGTCAGCTGCAAGTGGCGCGCCTCCGGAGAAGACTTCCTTTATACGACCACCCAGAACAGACTTGATCTTGTTAAATACAATGGCGTCCCAGATCGGAGTTCCTTTTCCCTTCTTCATTGCCGCTTTCTTGGACTCAAAGGCCTTGTGGAAAAGCTTCTGCACCAAAGGCGATCCAGCAGCCACCTTTCCAGTTACAGCCTGACGAATACGATCCATGATGGTAGGTACGGCTGCCAGGTATGTGGGTCTAAGCTCGCTAATATCTCCTTTGGTTCCCGCTTTGATCTTGGGAGAATTATCAGTGAGAGTGAGAGCGCCACCATATCCAATCATGCACCCGTTATTGAGTAGAAAATTCTCGGAACATAGAGCGAAAATATGCGCCAAGGGTAGGAAACCCATGAAACAATCTTCTCCAGGAACAATAGTGGGGAGGGCCTCTTTAAACCCTATGCACGCAGACGTCATATTATGATGTGTAAGCATGACCCCCTTGGGTAGACCTGTAGAACCGGACGTGTACATGATCACGGCGACGTCTTCGGGCTTAGGCTCAGAGTATGAGACGTCAGCGGCCTTGCCAGTCTTGATCACATCTTCATATGCGTACAAAGTGACGCCCTCGGGAACCGCAACATCTTTTGGCTTCTCACCGTTGTAGATAATGCTTTTGAGGTGAGGACAGTCCTTTGCAATCTTGGCAATCGCGGGCAACAGAGCGCCTTCCGTGATAACGGTGGACGACTCGGTTTGGTTGAAACCGTAGGCCAAGGCCTCGTCACCAAGAGTGGCGTAGATTGTGCCCAGAACGATACCGGCTTGGAAACAAGCCTGTGAAGCGACCTGCCAATCCGCCATCGTGTTCATGAAGATGCACACATTCTCCTTGGGCTTAACACCCATGGAGATCAACCCCTTGGCAAACGCTAGAATGCGTTCGTTCGTGCGGTTGTACGTCATCCACCTGTACGCACCGTATGTGCATTTGAGCAATTCCTTGCCTGTATTTGGGTCCTTGATTGTCTCACTGGACACAAGCTGACGTGTTCCCAAGCATCTTTGCTTACCAAACTTCGCTGCGCAAGCAGTCCATGCAGCTGCCATTGTGGCTGGCACTTTCTGACTCTCAGGTGTGAAAAGGTCTTCTTTCGCTTTAACATTTCGGAACTGCATCCACCCTGGTCCCTCATTGGTAGCAACACCATATTGTCCTCCGTAAGGCATATTGCTACAATTAGTGAAGTTGGCACGTAAGAAAGTTTAAGTGTACCGGAGAGAAAGTATGATTACATTTCAGATCGAACCGTGTTTCTTTATATATAAAATGTATTGTATTGCCTCACTTTATTCTCTATATATTTACTATAAAATAGATGCTAAAAAAAATACGTCTCCAGCCGCCAATAAATACAAACTTTTGTGTCCGTGTGTTACTAAATTTAGGACTACTCCTTCCGGCGTAACCTGCTGCCAGAACTTGTACTTGTGAAATGTGCCGAAAAGTGAGGGAAGCAGCAAGCTCCCTGGGGCCTGGGCCGCCTAGCTCGCGAGATAGCAAAAAGCCCGGAATCCGGGTCACCTGGTGTCCTAGGGTCCAGAATTATAGGGCAGTATAAAACTGCACTATCCACTCTGCACAGTCTGCAGAGTGCAGGTTTGACTCTGCAGACTGCAGAGTGCAGGGAACAGCAGGCTCTACACACAAAATTATGAAAGTTTACTACCATATTTGGAAGTGATTATCCAATCAAGCTTCATGAATTTTATAGTTCGATTCAAATCTTTCTCGCACCACGAAAACTTCACAATAAAAACCGAGACAGAAGAGTGAGAGCCTGTGAGGCCTGAAGAGTCTGAATAGCCCTTACTCCCTCTATATTATTCGTTTTTTTTTAGATATAAATAAAACATGTCTCCGACACGGGGACTTGAAAGCGTTGAATGCGTTTATCTGAAGAGGTGGGATAAGGTAGAAAAAAAGCTGATTGAAACGGATGTACCAAAAAGAAATTGGAATACGTTACAAGGCTATTGGGAATGAGTAATATAGGGGACGTACAAAAGGTAAACTTCTGTCGCCCTGATTTTGGGTTTGTTCTGAATATATTTATATATATTTTTTAAATTACACTTCCTGTATTCATGAATATAAAGCGTTAAAGTACAAATCGTTTACGTTACACACGTGCTTCTATATTTGGTCAAAAACGTGATAAAAAACACGTTAATGACTCACTCACCAAGTTTCAGTACGATAGATAATTTTTATCAAATAGTCAATTTATCAACTAAAAAATCCGTAGGATTTTTGATGACTTTAAAAATAAGGGAAGCTCTGGAATTTTTCGAGCCGAGTCCTAGGGTCCTCCTATTTCGTGCATAGTGTCAACAGTCTGACATCTGACAAGACAAAGATGACACCAAATGGACATCTTACAGACAAAGATGACCCCAGTTTCGCGTTTCAAAAGGGGACTCAAATAGCACAAAGCTACCAGAGAAAAAGAGACAAAACTACCAGAGAAAAAGAGACAAAAAAATTACATACAATTCTCAAAAGCAAAGCCCTCCCAAGTCCCAACTCCAGTCTCCAGTAGAGTCGACTCTTCCCAGTCTACCAATATTATTTTTAAAATAAGCCTTTTTACCAAAAATAGAGGACAAAAAATAGGATATTTTCATAGCCATTTCATATCCTTCTATATTGAAACACATTCGATTTTCGGAAAGTCCGATGACTCCGATGTCCGATCAGCCGTATTTTGTTACTTCTAGATCAGTGATCAGAGAGTAATATTTAGAGGACATGTACGACATGATGCATAAACCGACACAAAGTCACAAACGAGTCACGACAGTGACGACTGACGTCACATTTACACTCATCACCTATGTTACAATACAGCCTCACACACAAGTCACAGGTTAGGCCATCAGGTCCAGGACTCCAGGCCCTTTGGCCTTTTGGCCTTTTAAAATGCTTTGAAATTTGGGAATTGGAAAGATTTGTTTGGGCTTTTGGGTTTTATATTAATAAGTCACAGGTTAGGCCATCAGGTCCAGGACTCCAGGCCATTTAGCCTTTTGGCTGCCAGCAGCTGGGCAGAGGGGCGCAGGGCCGGGGCACAGGGGCAGCGTACCCGCGCCGAGTAAAAAAACCCTCAATTCGTACTTATTTGAAAAAAAAACGAGCTTTAATCCAATGGAATCATATTTCGAGAGTTTGAAGTAGTTAAACAAAACAAGGGTTTATTATTATAAAAAACAAAACATGAGTGGTTTTTTTTTAATAAATAAAGCACAGGGGTTTTGTCTTCCTTTTTTTTTCTTTTTTTTCCTTTGCCGGAATCTTGGGTATGCTGGCCGCTAAAACACGGCAAGTAAGTACACATTTAAAATTTTAAACAAAATATAGGGGATCGAACTATATATTTTAAAATAACGTCCGAAGCCCGAAGGGCGATGTACGTAATTTTTTTTAAAAGAGACATAACCATAGCTTTCTGACATAAATCTGTAAATATTATTTTTTAAACACTTGTTTTGTAGTTCAACTTTCAGAGGTTTTCTTCATAAATAGCCTTCTGAAAATTGGACATGTTTTTGTTTTTTGTATTTTTTTTAAAAATATAGTGTGAGCCAGAGACTTGCCAGACTCAGACTGCCTGCCTGCCAGGAAGTATCTTGTTGACCCCGTCAACAATATTTTGGGCATAAAAAAAGACGCATTCTAAGTCACTCGGTTGCACTTTGCAATGAATCGCACAGTCGCACACTCATGATATAAACGTGTCTCACACAGCATTAGCATAGCCTTCTAATTAAATTGAAACAACACACTGCACAGTGATAAACTAACTACTCAAATCGCGCACACATAATGTCTTGAACCTGAAATGCGGGTTTGTGAATTGTGAGACTTTCACGGACAACTTATACACTAAAATGTCATTCGTGAATCCTATCATGGACCTTATATTTATTTAGATTTATAGCGTCTCAAACGGAAGTCAAGTGTCGACTGTCGTAGAGAAATCGTAAATTTAGAAGAGGCTCTATCCAGAGCCTTATCAGAGGGCCATGATCCTATTCGAACCTTCGGCTTTTACACGCGGAAATCGGAAAAACGGCAAAAAGTTACATAATTTTGTCATTTCTAATAACTTTGTTTTTGAGACGTGAAAAATCTGTCCAAGTGATTTCGATCTCCTTGATATTCTATTAAAAAACACTTTGGTACTGATTGATCAATTTTTGGGGGCTCTTTTGTGTTTTAAAAGTGTTCTTTTAGGAGGCTATGGTTAAAGCGCTAGAAAATATGCCAGTGCTATCTGTAATATGTAGTAGCATTTCGAGAAAAAATCGGAACAGATACCCGAACAAAAAACCCGTAAATCTGATGAACTCTGATCTCACAAGCATACCAGCAGAGTGTAGGACAGAAGAGTGTGAATGACTGAGAACAGTCTAAGCCACATCCTAGCTAGGTGGACCTCAGAAACTCCAGCCTCTCAGACAGTGGAAACTCGGGCCTTCGCATGGTTGGACTTTAAAGGATTGTTCTAGTGCACTTCTTCACACAGTATGGTTGTATATATACATTCACTATATTTTTTAAAACAGCCAACTTCTGATATATTGTCTTTGGTCTATATTTTGATACCAGCTTCCTTGAATGTCAAATACGGAGCTGTTCGATGACGATCTATTGTATATTTCCCTATCACATCATTAACAATTTTGACGACTTCAACGACCTCGAGGAGAATAGCAATTGTAAAGAAGATATTGATTCCGAGATCGGTGGTATGTACTACGTCTACCAGCGTATCACCGATTGCTTGTGTTATCGGAGCGGATCTACCAGAGGGTATTTATTCACGCCAGCATCTAGAAAATCTACAGATATCCTATCTGAAAACGAACAAAGGCTATCTTTTCATATGTATTTATTTTTATTTAGCCCTCTTCCAAATTGAACACATTTTTATTTATTTTTACTTTACAAAAAGGCTGTGTGTTTTTTTGTCTGTTTTTACATAGCCTTCTGAAAATTACACATTCAGAAGGCTCTGGTTTTTATACAATGAAAAATAGAATGTTTCTAATAACTCTAATAGTGCCGGACTTGTCTTCTGGGGGTTTTTAGAAATATTCCGAACACAAGACCCAGTCCTACAAGCCGGACCAAAAACCAAAAATGAGACCCCGGCCGAATATATAAGGACTATAAGGATCAGTGTGAGACATCACTTCTCAGATACAACCCCCAGAAGCCCCAGAAAGAAGAAACACCCACCATCCCACCCTGAGGAAGACAAGACCCCTGGAATCTAATTTTTAATTTTTAGAAGAAAAAAACAGAAAAAAACTCTGCGGGCCAGGGGGAGACTCACGTCCGTCTCGCGCGTTCTCGCTGTATGGCCCGAAGGCACAGGCGAACCAAAGGACGACGAGACTTTTCAGCAAAATCACGGACGTCGGACAAATAAAAATATCCACGGGGGGTTAGTTTGAAATTGTACCGCACTTTTAAAAAATGATAGGCTTTTTTCTAGGCTTTTTTATTTATTTATTTGGTAAATGTACTCTCTCTGCTTTAGTAGAGAGGGAGAACCATAGAGAGGTCACTCAAGAGAGAGAGAGGGATGTCTAATATTATAGAGCATCTAAATAAATATATTGAATACTCTCGAGAGGTGATTGCGAGGAAGAGTGTGTCAGAACGTATACATTGACTGAGAAGATGGTTGGAACCCTGCTACACAAAGGAATTGCTCTCTTTGCGTTTGTAACTCTGGCCTAGTAAGTCATCTAGAAATCAACTATAACTTTAATTTCTTATTGTAGCTTTCAACGATTTTTGATACGAGACCCACGAATAAGATATTTATTTCAATACTACTTTACAACCCAAACGTATCAATCTGTTAGCGAGAGTGAGACTGCTTGAACTCCATTTGGATAGGAAACACTCTAGAGCATCTAAAGTTGTCGGTAGATATTCGCAGTTTGCCTTCTAGTAACTAAAGTATATNTATATATATATATATNTATATATATATATATTNTATA